TCCTGACCCACTTCTGCCGGTTCCCCGCCGAAATAAAAGTTCTTCCCGAGAGTTTGAGGGCCGAGGGCTGCGGCCCTCCCACCCTGGCCGGAGGGAGGGCGGCCAGTGGCTCCCCGGGGGGTGGGGGCAGGATCTCCTTCACTTCCTGCGCTGGGTCCTGCGCTGAGCCTGGTGCTCGGCTAACCTGCGCGCCCTTTGGGGTCCGGCGGCCGAGAGGTGGGGGGGAGAGGGTGGTTTGCTGGAACCAAGTTGAGAAAATACGAAGCGGCGCCTTTGGAAGGAAACCTGCAGGCAGCACGGTTGTGCTGCCCAGCTTTCTCGGCCCTGTCCTGGGGAGGGCTAGGCTGGGCTTAGGAGCCCACCCCCCATTTTCACCCTCACTTGCACCCTAGTAGGGCCCTGGGCCCCTAGGCTCTGTAAATGTTAGCTCAGCACGTAAGGATGGGGTTAGGGTGGGTTATAAAAAGCCTAAAGAAAACCTCAGTAGATAGGCTAGTCAAATAAACCAAAATAACGTACAGTTGTTTTGCTCAGCAGCAAATAAAGGCTCTTTCTCCTTGAGTTGCTTTTTTCAGGGGAAAGTCCATTCTTGTTGAGGGCACTTCTAGGCTTAGAGGGGATGGGCCTCGCAAGCCAAAACCTCTAGTATTTCATCTTCAATGTGCAAATAAGACTGGCAGGAATGTTTCTGGTTTACTCGTTGAGTCGAGAAACGTTTGGGTGCCTGGCCCCTGGATATTGGAGCGGTGGAGAGACCAGCAGGAAGTGCCTGTGCGGGAGAGACCCAGCCCAGGTGGTGGTCCTCATGCAGCCCTGGCTGGGGAGGGGTCAGGCTTGAGAGAGCTGGGAACTGTAAGAAGTAGTTGACTTCTGAAATCATCAAATGCTTCAGGTCCAGCTGCAGCAGCAGTTTATTTTCAAAATGGAAAATCTGTAGCAAAAAAGTAGTTATTAGAGCTGATAGGCCTGTAGAATCGAATAGATGATGCCAGAAAATGCCCAGGAGTGCTAAAAAACAGGCTTTTGGACAAGCTTTTATCTCCTAACCAATTTCCCAGTATTCTTGGCATAACAACCATCACTTTCAACCTTCTCAAAACTTATTTCTTGACCTGAGTTTACCTTATCTTGTTTTTAAATGTTTGTAAATCTTGCAGTGTGTTTTTGAGTGGCTGGCAAAAATGAAAACTCCAACTTGCTTGGTTTGTGATTCCACCTACAAGTGTCTACTTTCAAACACACCTTTTTTCTCCTCTGCTAACAGGAGTACTCCCCCGGTTACAAGAGGCGTAGGACCGTGGAAGATTTCAACAAATTCTGTACCTTTGTCTTGGCCTATGCTGGCTACATCCCTTATCCAAAGGAGGTAATCTTCAGGAATTTCGAGGCTATTCTTTCTAGCAGTGAAACCAGAGTGTCCAATAAGGCATTTAGTCTGGAAGGGGTTGTGCAGGAGAACTTTATACAAGAGTTGGGCAAAAATCTTTCTTGGAAACTTAGACCAGCCTGAGAAATGGTTCCTCAAACTCTGGTAGAAAATAAAATGCAGACTTGTCTAGAAATGATTTAGTAAACTTTCAAAGTTTGCTTGAAAATACCTATTTGCTATCTTGGTTTTTGTTTTCTTTTGGTCGGGTTGGTCTTCCAGTTACAGTTGACATTTAATATGATTTTGTACTAGTTTCAGGTGTACAGCGCAGTGGTTAGACAATCATATACTTTACAAAGTGTTTCCCCTGATATTTCCAGTACCTTCTTGACATCATACATAGTTATTACAGTATTACTGACTGTATTTCCTATTCTGTACAACTGCCTGATCTTAATAGCCAGTAATTATTGAATGCTGACTGTGGCCAGGCAGTTTTTGGCCCTTACAATGATATGAGATGATTGATATTATTTGTCCCCATTTTATTTTTTAAAAAATAAGTATTTATTGAGTTTAGAGAAAGGAAGAGAAACATCCATGTGAGATACATCAGTTGGCTGCCTCTTGTACTCCCCCTACTGGGGATCAAGGCCACAATCCAGGCATTTCCTTGCTGAGAAATGGGCAGAATTGTGGACCAGTGCTGCCATGGTCTTAAAACTTCAGGGGCCTCATTCATACTGACCGAGGCTAAACAGAAGGGACCCCTGTATTCCTAGGGGGCCAGGTCCCAGCATTGGTTTATCCTTTGCACTGCTGTTCAGGTGGATTATGCCTGCTTTGTGCCATGCAGAGTGTTGCCACTATTTGCAAATACAAAATGCTTGAATGGCCTGAAGGAAGAAACCATAGCTCACGCACTGCTTTAGGGCAATAATTACCTACTTTGATTTTTGCAATATTTTGGGATATCTCTAGTTTTTAAAAAAAGTATTGGGAAATTCTCAAAACTAATTTAAATTCATTTAATTAAAAAATACATCCCGTGGGAGGACAAATGGAGGGGGAGGTGTTACAGTCAGAGAAGGAAAAGTGGGTTGACAGCTCATCTTCACTCCTTTCACAAAGATTGAGCATCAACCAGGTTCCAGAGGGTTCAGCCAGGGTAGGAGCTCCCCTCTCATGGGTTCACATTCTATCTGAAAGGTCACACTAAAGGACAAATGCCACTGTTCCTAAAGAGTAATGCTAATGAGAGCTGGAAGCCTATGGTTGTAGAGTGCCTGGGGGAGCTCTGTTTGGGGCCAGCTCTTGTTGCTGGGACTGCTTGAAATGATCGGAACCCGGCACCTTTGCCTCTGTCCTTTCAGGAACTCCCTTTGAGGAGCAGCCCTAGCCCTGCCAACAGCACCACAGGTACAATTGACAGCGATGGCTGGGATGCTGGTTTCACTGACATCTCATCTGCCGTGCCCTTGCCAGTCTCCGACCGCTGCTTTGGCCACCTGCAGCCCGCCCTCTTGCAGCGAGCCAAGCCCAGTAACTTCCTGCTGGACAGAAAGAAGACCGACAAGCTGAAGAAGAAGAAGAAGAGGAAGCGAAGGGACAGCGATGTGCCCGTGAAGGAGGGGTACATGGGCAGCTTGCTGAAGCTGGAAGCCGCCGATCCGTATGTGGAGACCCCCACGAGCCCCACCCTGCAGGATATCCCTCAGGCCCCTGGCGATCCCTGCTCGGGCTGGGACTCCGATACTCCTTCCAGCGGGTCTTGTGCCACGGTGTCACCTGATCAGGTCAAAGAAATAAAAACTGAAGGCAAACGGACTATCGTCCGGCAGGGAAAGCAGGTGGTGTTCCGAGACGAGGACAGCACTGGCAATGACGAGGACATAATGGTGGATTCAGGTGAGTGGTCCGGAAGGACAGCAGCACTGTTGGCTGGTGGTCAGAAGATAGTGGCTATAAACAGGAGCCTCAGAGCAGTCCCGTCCTCACTGTGCCCACCATCTTTAGGGAGAAAAGGGTAAGAAGGTGGACACTGAGGTGTTTAGGGAAGGGGGTGATTGCAGCTAGAGACAGCTGAGATTCCAAGACAGGTCTGGAAACGTAAACATAATGTAGCTCATAACACGTCACGGTAATCCTGGGACCCACGCCTTTTAGTGCCCTTTGTTGTGCACATACTATGTGTTCAGGGAGGGAGGTAGCACCGTTAGGAGCAAGTTGAAATGCAGTTCAGTTGTTGAGGATTAGCTGCTTTGTGCCGTTGGAGAGCAGTTTTCCTGATGGAGAGGGGTCCGGAGATGTTTTTTCCTTCTTACGTGTTTCTCTCTTTTCAGACGATGACTCGTGGGACCTTGTCACCTGCTTCTGCATGAAGCCGTTTGCCGGCCGCCCGATGATAGAGTGTAATGAATGCCATACTTGGATTCACCTGTCCTGTGCCAAAATCCGGAAATCCAACGTTCCTGAAGTGTTTGTCTGCCAAAAGTGCCGGGACTCCAAGTTCGACATCCGCCGTTCCAACCGTTCCCGAATGGGCTCCCGGAAGCTCTTTCTGGACTGACTGCTGGCAAGCGAGGAGACTGTGGGTGGAGAATTGGAAGGGACGGGACAATGGGCTTTTTGGCCCCTTTCTTAGTTGAGCACAGAACTCTCAGCTCTGGTGCAGGCAGACCCCTGCCATTCAGGTGCCTAAGCAAAAGGACAGGCTGTCCAAGGTATAAACTGTACATAGCCAGTGACTGAATAAAGTCCTCGTAGGCCAAAGCTGCTGCTAGAGCTGTGTTCTCTGCAGTGGAGGCAGGCTAAACATCCCAGTACAGTGGGTTTGGTGCAGCTGAAAATGAGGGTCCGTAGTAGTTGTGAATTCTTGCTATCATAACAAACTCCCGCCGATTGGAACAAGTGCTAACTGTTAACTTCTGCTTCCGGTGTGTTGGGGACAAATGTTTCCCCGGCCTGTTAACAAACAGCCATACGTGCAAACTTTTTCTCGAGTGTAAGTCTTTTACCATAAGTGTCTGTACAGCAACCATCAGAGCTGCCCCTCCCTTAGTAGTCCGCCTTCTCCCTGCCTCGTTGCTGCCTCTGGCCCCGGGGCTGCCTGCTGGACTTCTCTGGTCTCTGAGAGGAGCTGGGGGTGGTGGGCGAGCTAGGGTCCCTAGTTTTCTTTCTGTTCCTTAAAAGGGATAGTGTGTGGCCACTTCTCTGTAGAAAGAGGGTAGGTTGGGAGATTCAGGTGGCCCGTGTTCTTAACTCAGTTTCCTGTTTTGCACGATGTAAAAAACCTGTCTTTTTGCACGATATAGCCAAAAGTATTGGCAGATTTTTGCCTGGGTGCCCTTTCTCTCCAGTTGGCGTATGGGTGCCTGTGGATGCCCAGGCAGAGTGTTTCCAAGTGAGGGGGCACTTTGATTCCCTCCTTGTCTCTTCCCCTAGCATTATTCCAGTAGCAGCATAAAGGTTAGGCAGTCACTGGGGAATGGCATTCCTCTATGTGATGGGTGAAGGAAAATTGGGAGGAGGGCCTCTCCCACGGGTGATTATTAGTGTCCCCTCATACAGGTTGGCCTGCTGGTTCCACAGGCCAAGGTTAGGACTTGAAGGCTTTTTGGTTTGCGTTGGTGAGTGATATGGTAACATTGGCCTCCGGGTATATACCATTGAACTGTGCAGAGTTCCTCAGATCTGGACTGGGGACACTCTTGCGGGTGTGATTCTAGAGAAGCCAGGGAGTTTGCTCCTGAAGGCCTGTGGGGCTCTGCTCCAGGTCAGTGTACCCTGGGACACTGGTGGTTCTGGGGCTCTGAGGGGGCGGAAGGCTTCAGCTTTGTTCCAAATTGACATTACTTTTTAGCAGTTCAAATACTTGTTCTCAAAAATGTTTTTTGTTTTTTTGTAAATCGATGGATGTGTTTTCATATACATTGTTTTTTGTAAAAGCATGAAAAGGGAAGAATGCCCAAGTTGGTCATATTTGTTTACAGCAGGATGGACCCTAGTCTCCCTGCCAGGGGCTTCTGCACTTGGCATCCTTGTGCAGGGCCACCAGGCGGACTCCCTCCACTCTCTCACTGAAGCACCAAGGGTTTGAACTGTAATTGGCTAGTCAGAGCCCATATTTTGTCCTAGTATCATTCATGCTTAACAAGCCAACTGCCTTTTTTTGTTCTGCTTTTAATTCTGTTGCTTTTATTAACACAAAAATAGACATAGTTTCTGAAACCCAGTTTATTGTCAAGATCCCCAAGGGAGAAGTGCTGTAGAGAGAAATGGTAAGAAGCTGGTTCAGAAACAACCTTCTCCCCAGACAGCTGTCTCTGGCTCTGACGAGGGCAAATGTGCAGGAGAAGTTGGGAGAGGAATTTGCCAAAGATCTGCCCCAGGACATTGCCTGTCCAGTGTCGTCACCACGAGAATAGCCAAAGTTCCAAAGTTTTTTTCTTTCTTTTTTTAAATAACCACAAAGTTTTAAAGGTGCATTTAATAGTATGTGTCATTTTACAGTGGAATGGCCAACACTAGTGATTGCTATTTGCTCTTATAAGGTTCAAGGCCTGGCAACTCCTGGAAGGCTGTCGATGGTCATCTCAATTTGTTTCTTCATTTCTTTTTTGTTCTTTTGACAGGTGTACCCCTGTGGGTGGTGTCTAAGAAGTCAAGACACCTTGGTTTTGTGTTGATTGAGCTGGCAGCTGCAATCAGCTTTATGCAAATTAGGCACAGCCCGACTAGGGGCTCCTGGTTGGTGGCTGATGAAGTGAGGGGAGGGAAAGATGTCACCCCCAGAGCAGGCCCTTCCCATTGGCTTTGGCCAGGCCAGACACTTAACATCGTTTACATGGTTCTGTGTAATTGTAAAGTTTATGTGTAAAAAGCGAAGCTGTTTCTGTGAAACTGTATATTTGTAAATAAAGATATTGCTACTTTGAGGTTCATGTCTAGCTTCAGGTGTTCTGTGCTGAAGGACAATTGTGTTTATCTACCATCATCACCTGCCCCAAACTATGATTACAGGACGACTTGGGAAGTTCAAGTCATAGTTTTGTTTAGCAGAATGAAAAATGCCCATAGCCCTTAATTTACTTTTCTAGTAAATTCTTCAGAAACAAACCACGATAGGAATAGCTCTCAGTTTCTTCAAATTGAGCTTAAGCTCCAGTGAGTGGTTAACCTGCTTTGTGAAAGCTGCAGCCTCTGAGGTTCCCTAAGCAGGACTGGGATCTCCTGGGGGTGCACACTCGGCCCTTTACCCCTGGTGGTCTGCAGGGCCCGAGCCTGTTCTGATCGCTGTATCCGCCTAACTCTAATCTGGGACCAACTCGTAGTCCTCTAGCGACGTTCGAGCAGCCAAAATCTGCGTCTCGGCGCCTCCCAAAGTCTTGGAACTACTGCTGACGTTGGGCATTGAGCCCTTCTGTTTCCAGTTGTCCAAGATTGATGGTGGGCGGGAGTTTGGGGGCTCCCAAAGCGAAGCGCGGGTAACGGGCTTCAGCGAGCCGGGGTGACACGGCAGAGCCCCTAACTCGGGCGACGTGGGTCGCGGGCGCCGAGCTGGCTGCTGGCCAGGGAGCAGCA